TGGTCAAACCTTTCCTGAAAGGCTTGGAAATAAAACACTGCATTTTTAAATTTCTCCCCAAAATGGGGTTCACTGGGATCCCCGCTTAGGGATCATGACCTTCAGGTACTCTTTTAAATCTTACTGATTGGGGGGGATCCCTGGGTGGCCCAGCGGTTTGGCGCTTGCCTTTGGCCCAGGGCGCGATCCTGGGGTCTCGGGATTGAGTCCCGTGTCGGGCTCCCAGCGTGGGGCCTGCTTCTCCCTCTGCCTGTGTCTCTGCCTCTCTCTCTCTCTCTCTCTGAATAAATTTAAAAAATGAATAAATCTTACTGATTTAGGGGCAGACACTTGGCATCTTAAAGTTTTGATAACAAAATCTCAATATCATGAAAAAAACAAACAAGAGTTGTAGATCTGGAAAATTAATTCCTCCTACCAATTCATTGAGATGGGTGTGGGTATGTATATGTTTAAAAGCCTTCCCAGAGTCTTCCGTCTATTTAGAATTTAGAGTTGCAGTCAAAATTAAAACAAAACTAGCAGGATTAATTTATAGAAATATAATATTATTATATTTCTCTTCTGGTGATTGATACAAATACTGTAAAATTCTGAATATCTGGGTTGCAGCACTCTCATCTCTACCCTGGATTATTGCAAGAGCCTCCTGTTGGGCTTCCTGCTGCTTCTCTTTTGTGCTCTTTCCCTTCCGGGCTTGCCTAACACAGCAGCCAGAGGAATCCAGTTAAACCCAATTCAGACCAGGTCATACTTCTCTCAAAACCTTCTAATTCTTTCCCATCTCACTTAGAATGAAAGCCAGAGTCCCAGCAAAGCTCTACAAGACCCTCACACTTACCTCTCTCTTTTACCTGGCCACCAGTTTCTTTGAAGTTCTTCAAACATGGCAGGCATCCTCCTGCCTCAGGGCCTTTGCACCTACGTGCCTCCCATGCTTTCTCAGACATCCTTCAGGCTTACTTCTTTTCTCTTGTAGATCAGTGAGGCCTTCCCATCTGCAATGAATCCCTGCCTTTTTTTTTTCCATTACAACTTTCCAATGTACTATACATTTTATGTACTCATCATGTTTATCATTTGTCTCCCTTGAAAAGGTTTAAACCTTAGAGGGCAGGGTTTTTTGTTTGCTTTGTTCAATATTGTATTCCTAGTACTTACCGTGGGAAGCCTGGTATATAGGTGCTCAATAAATATTTCTTGATCACTAAGTACTGCCTTCACACAGGTGTCAATGCCCCGAAGACTACCTGGACCACACCTACAGTTGAATAAGTTGGGTTTATGACATGTTACAGCAAGGGAAAATGCGCAGCATGAGGAACTGTGAGGTTTCTCAGTAAGAGGGTATCAGCAAGAGCCTGGGAATAGAACTTCAGTTTTAGTTGGGTCATCTGGCAGAGGGTCTAAGAAAATGGATGTTTGGTCCATTGGATGCTGTCAAAAAGCCGGAGCATATCTATAATTGGGTAAAGAACAGCAGTTGTTCATTCAGCAAGAGAGAGGGATATTCGGTATTGTATGGGGGGCACGCTGACCTCATTTTTATCTGTGCTTGGGCAAAATGAAAACGTGGCCTTGCTTAGTTTCATTTTGTCACAGCCTGAGATCAAACTTGTTTGAGGTTGGTATTCTGTGAAATTGTTAGTCTAACAGGAGAATAACACGGCATGGCTCTAAGTGCCTCCAGCTTCTGAAATCTGGATGTTGCTTTTGTTTTTTCCCCCTTAAATGTATCACGAACAGCTACACACTTGTGGGGAAGGAGTGAGTGGAGAAATAGGTGTAAGGAGAGGATAGAAACTTCTCTGTTCTCTGCAGACTCTTGTATGTCCACATGTCGGGCCTGTCTCACAGGGGACCCCCCTTTTTCACCATCCTCCACGTCAGAATGGGGTGAGGACTGAGGCCTGCTCAAAGTAAGGCAGTCCCCCCTCTTCTGTTATCTTTGTCACATTCCCCACTAGTGGGCTAAACAAGTCAGAGCAGTTTCAGCTAAGCCTTCCTCATGGTGGCTCTTCTTTCTACTGCAGGAGGGGTTTGAGGAGAAAGCTACCTCCCTTTCCTCTCAGGTTTTCAGGGTTGTGTCACTTTGCTGGGAGTCATTTGTTCAGGGGCTTTCAAAATACCTTCACAGAACTTTCCATGGTGAAGGAAGGGAACTAGTCCTTCGTATATGTTCCCAGAACAAACCCTATTCCCACAAAGAGAAAACTAGGTGATAAAATCTAGGGGTGACGTCCGAGTTAAACTCCTCACTTATCCCCACCTCCGATATCTTGCCCCCAACGCTTCCTAAAATTCCACCAGTTAGAGATTTGCTTAAAGAAGCAAACCTTCCCGGGATGATTGTAAGGAAGCAAAGAAGGGTGTTGCTACTGGTGACTCCTGGTTCAGTGTAACTGCACAGACAAGAGACAGGTGGAGCTGGGCAGTGAGGATTTGAGTGGTTCACAGCGGTTCTGAGGCCAAGGGCACGTTTGGAAGGGCAGGCATGCAGAAAGGAGGGTGGGAGAAGCAGCCAGCCAATGATTGCAGGCAGGGGACCCCAAAACTTGCTCACAGGTGCGGAGTGAAGGGATCTCCTCTCAGCGAGCTATGTTTAATTAGGTGAATGACAGAAGGTGCACCAGCACCCTGTCCTGCATGTGCAGGAAGCAGAAAGCTGAGACCAAACAGGTGACACAGGCACTGAATTGTCCTTTTTTTTTTTTGCTTGTATTTGTTGTGTAAAGCTGCACATTTTATTAGGAGTTCTAGGGACACCTGGGTGGCTCAGTGGTTTAGCACCGCCTTCAGCTCAGGTCGTGATCCTGGGGTCCTGGGATCGAGCCCGCATGGGGCTCCCTGCCAGCAGCCTCCTTTTTTCTCTGCCTGTGTCTCTGCCCCTCTCTCTGTGTCTCTCATGAATAAATAAATAAAATCTTAAACAGAAAAAAAGGAGTTCTGCCTACCATCTGCCATGGAAAGTGCACCTCCCATCCATCCACCAGAATCTGGGGAATAAGGAGGAGAGAATCGCTTGGTAACTTTGTAATGAATGGGCGAGGATTTCTGAGGCAGTAATGAGGGGGTTGACCAAAGGGAAAACAGTAATCAGTGGAAAGCAATGTTTTGAATAAAACTCAAAGCAGAAAGTGTTCTGATAGGTTAGATTTTTATATATACATATATAGCCTTCTCTAACATAAAGTGAATTTTAACTTTAGCAAAAGCTTTTTCTCCCCTATTGATGAACACATATGCAGATAAATTCATTTTTCTTATCTTGAGGCAGACTATAAAAAAAATCAAAGATAAGGAACACTTTTAAGGACCATGATTCTTATCGTATTCATAAAATTATATTCCCTTTAAAATACCATTCTCCTGGGGCACGTGGGTGGTGAAGTTGGTTAAACATCTGCCTTCTGCTCAGGTAGTGATCCCAGGGTCCTGATCCTGGGTGATCACAGGGTCCTGGGATCACCCAGCATCAGGCTCCCTGCTCAGTAGGGAGCCTACTTCTCCCTCTCCCTCTGTGCATCCCCCTGCTTGTGTTCTCTCTCTCTCTGTGTCAAATAAATAAAATCTTTTAAAAAGAAAATACCATTCTTTTCAAATCATAATTTATGCCTTCAGTATAACATATATGTTAATAAGTGAGGAAATCTTACCCATCTTTGTGCTATGGAGGAATACAGATATCTATTCAATTTATGGATGAAGAAAATATCTACCTCCATAGCACTTGAAAACTAACATTTTTGTATCTATCCATTTACTTAGTACTCCTTAAATGTCTTTGAATAAAGCTTTACATATTATTTTAGTAATTGGTCTGTTCAGATTTTCTAGTTTTCATAAACTATTTTATTTATTTATTTTTTTCGTAAAGTATTTTAAATTTTGGTTTAACCTCCGTGTTCCAGACCTAAAAAATGTTATACAGTTTAGCTGGTGACATCTAGTGGTGAAAAATGATGATTACATACAACATGCAGTGCTTGCAGCTTTGCTGATGGAAATACTCAAAAGCCACAGATTCCATGGGAAAAAAAAACCTATGTCAGTCGGAGTTTCTAGTTGTAACCAATCAAAACAAAATATCACTGATTTGAGCCGAAAAGTGCTGTCCCAGGAGGACAATGTTGCCACTTAACACCAACACCATGGATATGTGGTTCTGGATGCCCCAACAGGAGCTGCCACTCCTGGACATGGGAATTTCCAGCACCACCACCTTTCAGGTTCTTTGGTTCTTAAGATGTCAATTCAAAGTCTAGGGTAGGAAGAAAGGCACACACACACACACACAAACAAGGTCTAGAGTAGGATGGATCTTGGCCACTAACACATATGGGTACCCTAGCTGCAAGGGAGCCTATGTAAGCATCTGGACGTTTGGGCTTACTTAATGAAACAATAAAAAGTTATTATAAGATTAAATGAGATGACTATTTGATAAAGTACTTAATCTTGGTGCCCAGAATTTGATGAGTTTCCCAGAATGATAGTTGATATAATTCTACATTTTTATTCAATCGTGAGCTTTTTTTGAGGGTAAGGACCACATCTTGTTCATTTTATATTCTGGACATAGGGCATGAAGTTCTGTGAGTGTTTTTCTTTTTTTTTTTTTTAGATTTTTAAAATTTATTCATGAGAGACACAGAGAGGCAGAGACATAGGCAGAGGGAGAAGCGGGGAGCCTGATATGGGTCTCGATTCCAGGAACCCAGGATCACTACCTGAGCTGAAGGCATATGCTCAATCACTGAGCCACCCAGGCATCCCAGTTCCATGAATATTTATTAAATTGCACTGCTTGCCTCTGAATAGAAGCAAGCTTCTATTCTACCCTTGCTTCTATATCTCAATTTATGTATAGTCCTCTTTCAAACCTTTAAAGAAAAAGCACTTTAAAATAGAAATATATGCCAATAATAATAATATCCATCCAGTATTTGAATTTTTTTTCCTCCAAATTATCACTAATAGAAAATTACATCTCCCTACAGGTCTTCCACAGTACATTAATGCAGAAGATAAGATTTTATCTTATGAAAGTATTATCTGATGGACAATTAAGGCTTTGTGTTGTTCAACCAATACATCTCACATCATGGCTGCTCATATTCTTCATTCTGAAGTCTATCTCTTCTCTAAAACCTGCCCGGCTTCCAATTTATCAAAGGAAACCTTTTATAGCTGCTTGGAATGCCCCAACGGATCAGTGTTTGATAAAATACAATATAGGATTAAATTTGAAAATGTTTCAGGTTATTGGAAGCCCACTGGCCAAGGCCAGGGGGCAAAATATCACTATATTTTATGTCAACAGATTGGGATACTATCCATGGTATACATCACAGGGGGTTCCCATTAATGGGGGTCTCCCCCAGAACATAAGTTTGCAAGTGCATCTAGAAAAAGCTGACCAAGATATTAATTATTACATCCCTGCTGAAGATTTCAATGGACTTGCTGTTATAGACTGGGAATACTGGCGACCTCAGTGGGCCCGTAACTGGAACACAAAAGATGTCTACAGACAGAAGTCCAGAAAGCTGATTTCTGACATGCAAGAGAATGTATCAGCTACTGATATTGAATATTTAGCCAAAGCAACCTTTGAAGAAAGTGCAAAAGCTTTCATGAAGGAAACCATCGAATTGGGAATTAAGAGTAGACCCAAGGGCCTCTGGGGTTATTATTTATATCCTGATTGCCACAATTATAATGTTTATGCCCCGAATTATACTGGGTCATGCCCAGAAGAGGAAGTTTTGAGAAACAATGAGCTCTCTTGGCTCTGGAATAGCAGTGCTGCTTTATATCCTTCTATTGGTGTCAGAAAATCTCTTGAAGACAATGAAAACATTTTGCGCTTCTCGCAATTTCGAGTGCAAGAATCCCTGAGGATCTCCACCATGACATCCCATGATTACGCTCTGCCTATATTTGTCTACACAAGGCTAGGCTACAGAAATGAGCCCTTATTTTTTCTTTCTAAGGTAAGACATCCCTTGCAAAGATGGGGAGATTTCCATCGTGTTCTTAAAAGAGACTTTTTTTTTTTCTTCTAGGTTTTATCTATTTATTTGAGAGACTGAGAGCACAAGCAGGGAGAGGGGCAGAAGGAGAGGGAGAAGCAGACTCCTGCTGAGAAGGGAACCCCATACAGGGTTGATTGCAGAACCCTGATGTCACGACCTTAGCCAGAGGCTGATGCTTAGCCTACTGAGCCACCAAGATGCCCCTAAAACAGACATTTCTTTGTTAATTCTTTTCTTTGAAGAATTCCCAATTATGCTTTCCTAAGAGCATAATTGTTCCTTTAACTACCATCCACTTAGACTCTTTATTTATGCCAACTGAATCTTAATTATTTATCATTCTTTTAAGGAACATGGTATGGAAGGAAGGTTAGAAGGCAATAAGAACAACTCCTCCCCACTTTCCTCCCCAACTTTGATGGTGCTCCCTCATGATTGGCCTTTATTGGAGCAGGTAGTGGTGGACCAGCTGGAAAGTCAGAGAGGGGATTTTATTTTTTTTTAATTTTTTATTTATTTATGATAGTCACAGAGAGAGGGAGAGAGGCAGAGACATAGGCAGAGGGAGAAGCAGGCTCCATGCACCGGGAGCCCGACGTGGGATTCGATCCCGAGTCTCCAGGATCACGCCCTGGGCCAAAGGCAGGCGCCAAACCGCTGCGCCACCCAGGGATCCCAGAGAGGAGATTTTAAAATGGAGTAGTTTGCTCACACATGTGGAAGAGTAATTGGAAGTGTTCTTGCTTCTGGCCTCACCATCTAATATCAAGAGGAAAATGTTTTCTTTTTAATGTGTAATACCGGTTTTGATAAAAGGTACAAGAGAGGCACAACAATGTGAATACATGTAACACTACTGAACTATACACTTAGAAATGGTGAAGGTAGTAAATTTTATATGTCTTTTTACCACAATTAAATAGTTCTTAAAAATTAAAAAAAAAAATGGGATCCCTGGATGGCGCAGCAGTTTGGCGCCTGTCTTTGGCCCGGGGCGCGATCCTGGAGACCCGGGATCGAATCCCACGTCGGGCTCCCGGTGCATGGGGCCTGCTTCTCCCTCTGCCTGTGTCTCTGCCTCTCTCTCTCTCTCTCTCTCTCTCTGTGACTATCATAAGTAAATTAAAAAAAAATTAAAAAAAAATTGTAAAGGCATAGGGGCATTACAAATCTGCAAAAAGTAGGTGGATCTATAGATTTAGCCATCTGGTTTATTCTTGACTCTATGACCATAGCTAATGGAAAGTTGGTAAGAATGGTGCAAGTTTTTAAATTCAATCACAAATTCATCACCAGTCCATGATTTTGCAATCCTAGGTTAAAACTTACAAATACAAGTTTTAGTCTATTTATTTTACTATTGTAGCCAAAGACCTCCCATAAACCACAAGGGTAACTTTTAAAATAGATGAACTTTTGGCCCAATTATCTCTCCCTTCTTCTCCCCTTGCTACTCTACTCACTCAGATGGAAACTTCTAAAAATAAAAACTTAAAAGCAGATGACACTCTAGTGGTTGGACTTGGATAATTATGTGTAAACTTACTATGTTAAGAAGAGTTGAGACTCGTTCAGGCTTTCACATGGGTGGTATAGTGGTATTTTAAGATATTATTGGATACTATGGGCTTATCACATTTCTTCCTTCTCCACCATTACAAGTTTCAATTCATCAGTGTGTCTTAAAATATAAAGATGTTCTGACTGTGAGGCACCCAAGGGAGAAGGCTCAGGAAATATCCAGATGAAGATGTTAGTATGACCAGTAGGTATCTATGGAGCATATAGGGAGTACAGCTTAATCCTCAGAGGAAGAAAAGGCACAGATGTATCGGGATTTGGTAAATGCTAAGCCTTGGACACCATTGATGAGGTCAGTAAGAAAAAAAAGTCTTTATTGTGAACTGATATTTGTACTTCCAGAAAAGTCAGCAACAAATGATTAATAATGATAGGAAATCAATACTACCCAGGAGGTTTAAAAAGTTCTCTAGAACTTCTTGACCCTGGAACTGAAAGTTAAATATTACTTCCTTCTATGAAACTTCTTTACATTTTATATTTGGCTTAAACAAGTTTCTATCTTTGATGATAATACATTTACTTTTGAAAGAAATAATAAAATTTAAAGGATGAAGTGTTCATATTGAAAGATTAGTGTAGACTACTGGTACATTGTGCACATTCTATAAACCTAGATAAGCTTCCTTGAGTAACTATAACCTCAGAAATGTTTCTGTTCTAAGGAAATAAGGAACAAAGGTTAGGGTCTCATTAAGAAACAGCTCTCAGGCAGCCCTGGTGGCTTAGCCGTTTAGCGCCGCCTTCAGCCCAGGGTGTGATCCTGGAGACCGGGGATCGAGTCCTGTGTCAGGCTCCCAGCATGGAGCCTGCTTCTCTCTCTGTATCTCTAATAAATAAAAAATATTAAAAAAAAAAAAAGAAGAAGAAGAAGCAGCTCTCTTTGACAGGCCCAGGAATCATTCTGTAACATTCTGAAAACTTTCTGAATGGGAAGGTAATTCCAAATATTTCAAACCATCAGTTCAGCCACCATTTTACTATACCCTCTGTAAAAATACGCCCACAAAATTTTTGAAACCTGATGTTCATTTACACCAAATCATAAATGACAAATAATGGCTTCCATTTCTAATCTTCCCCAAGATAGCTGCACTTTATTTTTAAGATTTTTTATTTTTAAGTAATCTCTATATCCAATGTGGGGCTCGAACTTAATAAACCTGAAATCAAGAGTCCATATGTTTCACTGGCTGAGCCAGCCAGCACCCTGATATCTGCACTTTAGAGTAGCTGTGTATGTGTGTGTTTGCACAAGTATATACAAACACATATAGTTAGGATTACAAAAATGATTTAACAATAAGTAGCAAACTTCCTCACCTATCCAGACCTCAATACCTCAGTGTCTTAAGATATACAATGAGGCACTATTACCTGCCCTACCTACCTAGTGGTAATATTATGAAAATCAAATGAGAAAATTTGAGACGCTACAAAAATATATGTAATATAGTTTCTGATTCAGCATGGAAATTGCCACTCCATCCTAACAAGTGAAAAACTAAACAGACTGAAAAATCAAGGCTTCATAAAAAAAAGAAAAACGAAAAAGAAAAATCTACTCTTTTTAGATTCATGAGGACACAAGACAAATTCCCCTCAAAATTTGAGAGGCAGACAGGTGAATACAGAGAATCACAACTTACTAGATCAGAAATCTCTGTGGGAACCACTGCCAGAGTAGGGAAATCTGAATTACAATTGATGAGTTGCTAGAGACTCAGTGAGGACAAATCTGAGAAATAAAAACTCCAGGGGACTCAGTCATGGGTGGGTATGTACTTTTGTGAGTTTTCCCTCTAAAAGCTTATCAGGTGCTCACAATGAATATCAGAGAAAAATCTTCTTATGCATCTAGCAGGGGGCAGGAGAAAAAGAACTGTTTTGAATACTCAAGAACATTCTGTTCTTCTTAACAAGGTCTGCCCTCAGGAGAAACTATTTAACCAGAGCCAAACCTACTGGGGACTTAGCAGAGCCTAAGTGAAGGGGGCGGGGGGAGGGAAATAAATACTCAACTCCAGTTGGCTCCGGTCTCCCACTTGCAAGGGAAATGCCCTGCTCTAGCCCCATCTAGCCAGCCTATCTCACCTAAGAAGGGGCTAGACCAAATTAGAGCCTGCAGGGCCTTAACACTGTATTGCTTTGCCTGCTCTTGGGATCCAAATGACACAAACCCCCTCCGGGTCCCTGTGGAGGCAAAGTCCTCAGGGGAGTGTTGCAAACAGGGAAGAGAATTTAGCTAAGAGGAATGCAAGGTATTCTTCACATTTGGAGAAGAAAAACTTCTGGGTTCTATTTCTGGGTCATGTACGGATGGCTGGTTTGTGTGCATGTGGCCTTAGTTGACTTTGATTAAACAGCTTCTGTTGGCTATTTCTAGGCTGTCATCAAAATAATATCCTGTTTGGAAAAATTCAAGCTTTTCCTTAAAAATATTTAGTATGCTCTTCCATGTGAATATGGAGTATAACTTTGAGCCTTGGTTTATTCTATATCTATTTTACTCTGAGAACTAAAGAATCATCCTATTATATTGAACTCAACCTCGAATCCTAATCCCTGGCATGCTGTTTTATAGCCAAATGAATAATGAACTCTATTGTCTTCAATCTAGCAAGATCTAATCAGTACTATTGGAGAAAGTGCTGCCTTGGGAGCTGCAGGCATTGTTATCTGGGGAGACATGAATTTAACTTCGTCTGAGGTAAGGCAGTACCTTGAAGGTATAGTTAATATTATTTAAAGTATTTGCTCTTTTCTTTTATAGCTAACTCCAGTCGGAGCTCTCATAGCTCCCACAATAAACCAGCTTTAGACTTCAAGTCCAAATCAGTGCCTAATACATAGAAGGAGCTCAATAGTATTATTAACTTTTGTTAAGATAGTAATCATATTACTGACTTTTGTAGACTATTATGTGCTGGGATTGTGCTAATTGCTTTTTGTTTTGGATGTGCTCACTTACTGGTCATAATAACCCTTATGCGGTAGGGTTATTTATTTATAAATGAAACAAAAGAGGAAATCCAACTAGGGTAAATAGCTAGTTAGGCGAGTTAATGGCATTAACTACAGTTTGACTGGAGCCCTTGCATTTAACTACTACATACACTGTGTCATATCCTATTTTGAGAAGAAGAAACAGATGGTAACTTTTTAATCTCCGCATTGAATCTATTTTTTTCTTTATGGAGAAGTTAGCTGAAAATTAATAGCATTTAAAATGAGACCTATATAGTTCTTTTCAAATTTCTCCCAGCTCAGATATTATTTACCCTAGTAAGTCTTTCTAGTTTTCCCCAATCCACATTAGTCACAGCCTCTTCTGTATTTCCAGATGCTGTTTGTTTATATCTCTATAATACGATATGTTTGCCTGGAATTGTAATGCTCGTATCCTCAACACTTTTTGTTAAATTGAATTTTTTGCAAGTTCATGATGATCTGATATTATTCTTAGGATTGCACAGGCTCAATTTGTTGCTGTCAAGGTATCTGTCATGAAACTGTGACAATATAAGGTTAAAGTTTCCTCTGTCTAATATAAGAATTTGGTAGAAGTGGGGAGAATCAATTCCTGACCCTCTAGGTGTGACATTCCCTCCCCCAGCCCATGCGGCTCAAGAGAGGAGCTCCATCAGGAAGCTGAGTGCACAAACCAGGTGGCCTCTGTTTAGAACACATAATCGGAACCACAAAAAAAAATGACCCAGTCAGCCTTCCAGGCTTTCCTGTGTTTCAATTGTGTACAGATGTCCAGAATCCAGGGCAGTTGATATTTGAGCATAATTAACAGGAAAATCTAGGAAGCTACAGGTTGCCACTTAACAATTAACTGGTAGAATATGAGAATTCAGGTTCCTACACAACCCTGAAAGGTGGCCAGAGGACAGCAACTCTGGCATGATTTCTAATTTGGGTTTGTTCTTTTTTTCACATTCCATTAATGTGGGGGGCCAGAAGGAGAAAAAAAAAAGATGTAAATGGAAAGAAGGCAAGGTCATCATATGCTGACTCTGGGACCCATTGACAAGTTCAGTTGCTTAGCCCTAGTGTAACCTATTCTCCATCTCCTGCCTCTTGGACTTGCATCCTTTCTTTTTTCTTTTTCTTTTTTTTTTTTCCCTTGGAAGGATTATATTTATTTATTCATGAGAGAGAGGCAGAGGGAGAAGCAGACTCCCTGTGGGAAGCCTGATGTGGGACTCAATCCCAGGACTCTGGGGTTACACCCTGGGCTGAAGGCAGATGCTCAATCACTGAGCCACCCAGGTGCCCCTTTGCAGCTATCCTGATCAGGTTCCCTGTGTTGCAGCATCTGAGCCTAAGAGATCAACAACAGGAGCCAAATGTTAGGTTTCACTCAGGTCCAAAGAACTGCCTTGTGGGCCCAAATGCTCTAACCCTATTAGTGCCAAAACCCACTAAAACCCATTTGTTTCTACATTTCTAGGGCAACTGTACAAAGGTGAAGCAGTATGTGAGTTCTGACTTAGGACGCTACATAGTCAATGTGACCAGAGCGGCTGAGGTGTGCAGCCTTCACCTGTGCAGGAGTAACGGGAGATGCATAAGGAAGGTATGGAAAGCTCCTGATTACCTGCACTTGAACCCTGCAAGTTACCACATAGAGGCCTCCAAGGATGGAGAATTTATTGTGAAAGGAAAAGCATCTGATATGGACCTGGAAGCATTGGAGGAGAAGTTTTCCTGTCACTGTTATCAGGGATACGAAGGAGCCAACTGTAGAGGAACAAAGGCGGCTGACGGCTGCTCTGGGGTGTTCTCTTTTTCTAGCTCACTAATAACACTATGCCTGCTGGTTTTAGCAGGTTATCAGAGTATCTGGTCATGACATAATTGAGTTTAAATGGAACTGTGTGCCCTGTAGAGTAGTCACTTAAAGAAAAGATGAAACTTAGGACTTTTTTTTTCTCTTATGAAATACATTGAAAAGGTAGCATAAGTAGACATTATGTACGTCACTTAACATAAACAAGAGCATATTGCTTTATTTGGCACTGATTTGGCTAAGAAACCAGATCCAGGAATAAAATCAGTGCAGTCCTCTTCCTTACTGGAATGTTTAAGTTGTATTCAAACTAGACCCGTATATTTTAGTCTTTATATGAACATATGTGTATGTACATATACATATTAAATTATTGATTTCAAAGCCTGTGGGTGTTTTTTGTTTGTTTGTTTGTTTTGCCTAGAAATGTATTAAGGATAGATTGCTAAGCAATTATCTGAATCAATGGAAGAAGTCATCTCAGGGTATGAACTGGTCACTCGATCTACTGAAAAGGACCAAATGCAAAGTTCCTTGTCCCAGCCTTAGGTTCACACTGGGCTTCTGTTCCCCACCTGAGCTCACTGAGTGCAAAATTAAGTCCTGATGTGGCTTCTCATGGGAGGTGCAGAGGCTGAGGCAAATGGAACTGTTTTCAACTCATTGCAAAGCCATCTATTCCAATATGGTGCTTCTCTTACCCACTATGAGTCCTTCTTTCACAGACCTTGGCAATTTAAACACTGTAAAAGGCTTCAGGATAGTATTCACGTTTCCCTAGGCTGACATTGCTCTAAATCCAGAAATTGATGTCATGCTAATAAAAATGTAGTTTGTGTCTTTTGCAACAAAAATCATCACTAAAAATATATTTAATAAACATTTAAGGGACCCAGAAGTGCCATTGAGAAGGGGTTCTACCAAAAATATTTGATATTTTGGTTCCCACATGTAAGTTTTTAAGCAGTGGTTTAGAGTCAGTTTGAATCTAATTTGAATCATGCTTTCATTACTCAACTGGATGTGCAACTCTAGGTAAGTTATTTATATTTCCCATTTTCTCATCTGAAATTTGGTAATACAGTTCTCAGCTCAGTGGATTCTCAAAAGTAAATGGAATAGCACATCCTGTGCATACTTTGGCTCTTATACATGTTGCTAATCTTCAACTATCTTCCCTTAATCATCAAAGTAACAGAAACACTTAGAATAAAACAAAGTCTTGGCCAATTTCCTCATTGTTGTTGTTGTTGTTGTTCTTCTTCTTCTTCTTCTTCTTTCTTCTTCTTCTTTCTTCTTTCTTCTTCTTTCTTCTTCTTCTTCCTTTTTTTTTTTTTTGAAGATTTTTTTATTCATTCATGAGAGACCCAGAAAGAGACAGAGACCCAGGCAGAGGGAGAAGCTGGCTACATGCAGGGAGCCCAATGTGGAACTTGACCACAGGACCCTGGAATTACAACCTGAGCCAAAGGCAGATGCTCAACCACTAAGCCACCCAGGCGTCCCCAGTTTCCTCTTTCTGATGTTATGTTTTCTTTTTTTAAAAGATTTTTTTAGTCATGAGAGACACACAGAGAGAGAAAGAAAGGCAGGCTCCATGCAGGGAGCCCGATGTGGGACTTGATTCTGGGACTCCAGGGTCACACCCTGGGCAAAAGGCAGGTGCTAAACTGTTGAGCCATCCAGGGATCCCCATTATGTTCTATTTATAAACCACTTATGCATTGTTGAGAGGCATGTTCTACCCCTGGAGAAAATCTACTTAGAAGGTAAACCCTAGATACATATAATGCTATAATAGAAGGCATCTTTTCTCTTTTCTAGGAAACCTTTCAATCCAAGTGTGCTGTTTTTAGCTCTGGGTCCAGCTTGTCAGACTAATGGACATGGTTAAGGTCTAATTTCTAAATGTGTAATACAAGTGAAAACAAAAAACTTTTATAATATGAATGAGAGATATCATTGCATAAACTTTTAAAAAATTTATTTTTATATCAAAGATGATATAATCACATAGAAAACTTAGAAAATAGAAAAATAAGGAAAGTCACAAATAATCACTCTTGACATATTGGTAACTTTTGGTGTATTTCTAGTCTTCTAAAGAGTTTTTTTTTTTACATTATTGTAATAAAAATCATGCATAATTTTGTGTCCTGTGTTTTTCACTTAACCATGCTATAAGCAGACTTCGTACTATTTCATAATCTTCATAAATGTCATTTGAATGTCATCTTTAGAGCCACATAATAATCTATCGACTGGATGGAGCAAAATTTCATCAACAATTTTCCATAAGTTTGTTTGTTTGTTTGTTTATTTGAAAGAGACAGAGGAGGCAAGGGGCAGAGGGAGAAGGAGAGGGTGAATCCCAAGCACATTCCCCGCTGACCAGGGAGCCTGATGTGGTTCTCCATCTCACTCCAAGACCGTTACCTGAGCCAAAATCAAGAGTAAGAAGCTTAGGACTGAGCCACCCAGGTGCCCCCCATAAATTTTAATTTTTAAATGTCAAGCTTTTACCGTTTAGTCACTTCATCAGAGAATACTTTCCTGATCACCCTCCTAATTCATTCATTCACCTAATAATCAGTTTTTACATTCATCAATTTATTAAGCATTACTTCTTATCAGGCACTGTTGAAATGTATGCTTGAACAAAACAGAGGCTTGTCATGTACCTCAAATATAAAGTAATATATAGGTTTTATTCAATATTTTTTAGAAATTTGCTTATTCTAAATCTTGGGCAGCAGCTCTCTTATTAGAATTTAAAATGATAGAATAAAATTCAATAATGGGAAAAATAAATGTATCAAAGTGAATCTTAATATTGTGCTTTTTGTTTCTACTAGAGAACTAAATGTATAAACTTACTGCTTCCTCTGTCTTTAATGCTAATTTTAAGAACTTGGAAAATTTTTAATATTGCTGAACATTTGTTTATGAACTTGACACTTTGTTATTCTCTGCAGATCCAGGAACCATCAATTTTTCACTTCAGTGAAATTCACTTCAAATCCCTTTTGTTATGGAAACTTAGAACAGAGTACATACTCCATTCTTTGTATTCGGAAAATAAAAATCTTAGGTCACCATTGAGACTGCTTATTGCATTCTGTTCTATTAAGATACTAAGAGAAGTAATTTTCTGCAAATTTATTGCTACACCCAAAATAACACAATTCCTTTGTCAAGGAAAAAATAAATAATAAATATTATTTTTCTACCATATTGCCTATTGCACTGTTTATACACCTAAGTGTACAAGGATGCTATACTCTTTCACCTAGGAGCACTTATTGATTTTAAATTAATTTGTATTCTTAGAATCTATATTTCCCTCTGGGCATATGAAATCTGTCCTTACTCTCTTTAAAAAATATTAATTTATTTTGCCCTTTGGAGGTAGACAGTGCAAGATTCTCTTCCACAAAGAACACAGGGACTAAATATTGTCAAACTCACTACCTGATCATCTCAAGATGGTGCATGACATTCTAGATATTGCCTCTGAATTCCAGGCAGCACAATGGAAGAAAGTCCAAATAAAGCAAACACAATAAATCTCTGTTAGTTTATATTCCCAGAAACTGTCTGGGGAAATAATGCATTAGTTTATATCCTTTGGTAGAATTTGATCACTCAACTCCATTTAGCTGCAAGGAAGACTGGCAAATGTGGTCTTTATAATTCCTGACAGCCATTTGGCTAGACTATTAAAAAATGGAGCAGGAGATTGGGAAATAATGAATAATCTATGCAACTACTACATCCTGGACAGTGGACACTTTTTTCATTTAATTTTTTCCTTCTGCTACTCACTAAAATTTCCTGAAAAGTAGGGACACCTTATTCACCATTGTATCTCTAGATCAAACTCAGACCAGACACACAGGAAGTACCTGAAAAATATTTGTTAAAACAATAAATAATAACTTGCTAGCCAGAGACGCATATTAAAATCATTTGGGGAGCCAACCCAAAAAAAGCATTCTTGGGCCTTCTAGCTACTGTGGTGTCAAAAGTCTTGAACTTACATGCATATTCTGAAAAAGCTCCCCAATCAACTCTCATGTGTATTCCCAGTGAGAAAAACATTAAGCTAAATAATAAGAGAAGAAAAAGTAATGTAATCTTTTAAAAAACATTAATTGGAGTTCTGCTTCACAACCTAAGTGGTACTGACTGCAAACAGATTGTTCTTAAGAATTGTGAAAGCCATAATGTGGGAATGCTTTCCTCTCTCTACTTCTCCCTTCTTTCTTCTTTTCTTTCTCCTTTCTTTTCTTGTTTCCTTCCTTCCTTCCTTCCTTCCTTCCTTCCTTCCTTCCTTCCTTCCTTCCTTCCTATTAAATTGCATTTCTGTCCAGTATTTTACTTCTTTTCATTTTAATTTCCCAAATTAAACATGATTACTATTTTTATCATATATAGACACTTTAGCTTTACTTACATATTTACCTTTGATTCCCTCATTTTACATTTTTATATATCAAATTTCTGTCTAGGATCACTTTCCTTTTTACTGAGGGTCATCTTTTATAGTTCCATTAGTGAAAGTCTACTGGGGGAGAACTCTCTCTGTTTTTAATTTGATAATTTCTTAATTTTACCCTTAATTTAGAAAGTTAGTCTCAGTGGGTATAAATGTATAGATTGATGGTTATTTTCCCTTAGCATTTTGTAGATCCTTATCATAGTTTCCTATTGTTTTTGGTGATAAAACTGCTTTCTTTCTTTCTTTTTCTTTTTCTTTCTTTCTTTTTTTTTTTTTTTTTATAAAACTGCTTTCTATCTAATTGCCTTCCTTTGTAAGTAATCTGGCCCATTTTACAAGTCTAATTTTGGAGTTCTGTAGTTTTGGTTTAGGGTCTAAATGGTTTTTTTTCTGCTTACCCTGCTTATCATTTGATAGTCTTTTGCTTAATCATTTTTATTATTCCATATTGCTACTTTTTAGCCTTTTATACATAGATATTTAATGTTTTATATTTGATATTTATAATTCTTGAACATTAGGAGATTGTATATTTAATGTTTCTTATTCTTGCTAACCTTAATAATAATACCATATTTATTTGTGTGTTTAGCAATTTTTCATAATGAATTCATATTTTCTTGATTTTAATCTGTGAGAATTCTAAGTGTCAAAAATTTGGGTTGCTTTCTTATACAGAGGATTTTTAAAAAATTGTACAACTTAATTGAGATATAATTCACATATTATATAATTCATCAAAGTATTCATTTCAGTGGTTTTTACTATATTCACAGAGTTGTGCATTCATTACCCCATTAAATTTTAGAATATTTTTATCACTCCCCCCAAAACTACAAACCCTTTAGCAGTCACTCTTCATTATTCCCCAATTCCCCCATCTAATCCTAGGGAATCACTCATCTACATACATGACATGCCTGAAAGTGACAGGTGGAAGAAGTCAGCCCCAAATTAGTTAATGCTCTGTTCTAGAAAAGTCTTCACCATTAAACGAGTCATAAGAGTTTTTCAAATGCTCTCAGCTTGATTCTTATAAGATAAAATTTTACTTCACAAGAAGATTAAGAATGACATTTCCCCCTGTTTGTATTCTCTCATTTTCTCATATAAAGAAATAAATAAAATCTTTAAGAAAAAAAAATAACATTTCCTTTGTGGGGCCTATATCCTCCAAGAAAAAATACTCTGAGATGCTAATGAGAGTCAATATCAGGGGCTATTTTCCAGTTGCTCCAGAAATACAGCAAAGATGTTCTTTATTAGCAATAGTACAAGGTTAAATCTTGTATTCCTTAGCCAAGACCAAGCATCCCCTTTTCAATCTATCACCTCTTTTCATAGACTTCCAAAGTTTAACCTATAGTTATTTACTTGGCTTTCAACTTATTTAAAACTGACTTTCTCCATAACTTTGTCACCATCGGGGTTGATTGTCAAAATCCAGGAAGAGGTAAGGGAGAGGAGAAAACAAATTGTACATGAGTAATCACTAGTGACTAGGTCAGGGTGAACTAAATTGTCCTGACTGGGTAGATTCCTTCTGTTGCCTAGTTTAATAATTAATCACAAGTAAATAATAAGATTTCCACACTGAAATCAAATGTTGCTTTTGAACTTCCCTATTCTTTCTTTTCATTGGTCCTGGAACCATATATTATTAACAGACACTGGCAACGCTCACACAGGTCCCCCTAGGTCCCTTATATGATCTGTTGTGTATCTTGTTCCCATAGTTAGTGTGTCATTCACTGTGGTTTTGCTTCCCGCAGCCCTTACCTGGATCCCTTGAGTGAGCAAGCTTATGCTGCCCTCCTCAGGACCTTATTGAAATTGCATCATTTCTTGGCTACATCTCCTTCTGCTTCTTTTATTCTCCTTAAGCGTTTTTTTCCTGAGAAAACTTCCTTAATAAATCAGTGCACATGAAACTTTATCTTAAGTTAGCTGCTAGGGAACCTGACCCAAAATTCTTTTGTTCTCCAAATATTTAGAGACAAGCATAAAGAAGGAAGCTTATCTTTTATGTGGATATAATATCACAGCAAGTTAAAACACGAATTGGAGAACACATTAGAACATGTGACAAAGTGCTAATTGTTCTATACAAAGAACTCTTAAACAGATCAATTCAAAACAATGCAAACCCGGACGCCTGGGTGGCTCAGCGGTTGAGCGCCTGCCTTCCCCCCGGGGCGTTATCCTGGAGTTCTGGGATCGTCCCACATCGTGCTCCCTGTATGGAGCCTGCTTCTCTCTCTGCCTATGTCTTTGCCTCTCCTTCTCTGCGTCTCTCATGAATAAATAAATAATCTTAAAAAAAAGATGTAAACCTCACATGGGAAAAGGACATAGAAAATCACAGCAAAGAAACTATGAAATGGCCCAATTTCTTAAATAAAAGAAATTGTGATTAAAATGACAATGAGATGCCATTTTTACATCATCTAGGTTGGCAAAGTCTTTATAAAGTATGACAATACAATGTTAGTTTGGATATGGGGAAATCAGGCTTCTCAATTCTTGAAGAGAGTGTTAACTGATAAAATCTCTTTAAGAGTCAATATGGTATATTTCACTTAAACGTGGACAAGGCTTACCTTTTCAACCCCCATTGCTATCTTTCTCATTCTTCTTTCAGGTTTTATAATAGCATTTGCTATAGTCTCAATATTTGTGTCTTCTCAAAATTCACAAGTTGAAATCCCAACGTGGTGGTATTAGGAAGTGGAGTCCTTGGGAGGTGCTTAGGTCATGAGGGTGGAGTCTTCATGAATGGGATTACTGCCCTTATGAAAAAGCCCACACAGAGCTTATTAGCTTTCTTCCACTATGTAAGGATACAAAGAGAAGTCTGCAACCCGGAAGAGAGCCAACACCTAACTATACTGGCACCTGGACCTTAGACTTCCTAGCCTTGACAACCGTAAGAAATAAATTTCTGTTGTATATAAGTAACTTAGTCTGTGCTATTTTGTTATAGCAATCCAAATGGATTAAAACAGCATTTATCATTCTGAAATCATTTGCTTGTTTACTTGCTTATTGTCTCCTCACACTAAAGCTCTACAAGAGCAGAGACTGGCCTAAGTGGTGTCCTCCATGCCTGTGCTTGACTTGTAATAAATGCTCCATTTAAAATAGTTGAATCTGGGTGCCCGACTGGCTCAGTTGGTGGAGTGTGTGACTCTTAATCTCGGGGTTGAAAGTTCAAGCCCCACAATGGATGTGGAGATTAAAAATAAAATCTTTTAAAAAATAAAATAGTTAATTACTTAATTTATTAAGTATTACTTAATTTATTGATTCAACTAAGTAATCAGCACCTATGGTATAGCTGGAGATGCCCCAGTGAATCTAGAACATCTCAATATTCTTCTGTAGTATCTAAAATTCTCACTTAGGCAAAAAATTAAGACACTAGGGAGCTTATTAAACTAAAAAAATCTAAATAGAAGTAAATTGACTAAGGAATCGGAGCAATAGAGAAGTTGTAACTGAGGTTGTGAGCCAGGTAAGATCAGAATCGTGAGGTAATCTTAATTAATTGCAAGCAAGTAGATGGCAGACCTTGGCAGTAGTGTCAGAAGCTTTACTTGGGTTGCAGAGCTTATAGCCAAGAGACGTTTTAAGATAAAGTACAAAGGAGAAACCAGAATTAAAACCAAAGCAGGCAGAGTACTACAGTGTTCACTAGAATGTTCTAAGCAGAGAGGTGAAAACCAGGGCACAGGAGAATATTCTTCAGGCATCAGAACAAATCAAGCGATGAGAAGCTGTGGGGTACAGCCAGAGCCTATGGAGGGCAGCCCATGAGTGCAGGCATAGAAGAGTTAAGGGGAATATATGACATTATTTCTAGATGAAGAGGGAGGCATTAGAGGTGCCAGCAAATTTAGGCAGATTATGACAAAAATAATGGAGACCCCCCTTTTTGCCACAGGTAGGAATATGGAAAGGGGCTGGGCTGAGGTGTGGAACAATTCTGTTGCTTCGGACACTATCCTATATTTGACTACAGACACCAGTGCTACAAGAGACTGAACCTCCAGCCATGCCTCTTTGGGCTGTTTCTGGAGTTCTCTCCCTAAAAATTTAAAGTTTGAGTCTAAATCTTTGAAGATAGTCAGAAACTTCTCGCATGTCACCCTTTTTTAATGAAACAAATCTCATGAACTGAAGAAGGCACCTGGGCCACACAGCAACTGGTTTATTTTCCTCATCTGAACTGCTGACATAAGGCCCTCCAGGACTTTGACAATGGAGTATATTGGTTCTGAAATCTGAATCTAAGGGATTCAACTGAAACTTGCCTGTCTGAAGTAAAAAATAAAGTTGAGTAGCATGTATAAAACAGACAAAACTTGTGCCTACCTCTGAGGGTTATTATTGGGAAGAAATGTGTTAATATGTGTACAGTGTCTAGAGAGAGAAGGGAAGAAGGGAAAGGGAGGGAAGGAAAGGAAGAAAATTAAAATGTTAGTGACTATTCAACTCTCTTTTTAGATTTGGGACTGAAGCTAGACTCAAGCCAGTGCCGTTTGTCCTCTGTTATCTCAGTGTGCTTTATATGACAAAGATGTAGGCTCAGTGCTGATGGGCACAGACTTCACCCTCTCTACATTGTACTTTTCTGAGAAAGTTAGATGACAAGGCTGTATTTTATCACTGTTGGCAAAGTTAGAAGGTTATATACATTAACCAGGAAATAAAAGACCCCATAAATAATTCAAATATACTTCTAATTTAGATAAAGTGTTAGTCTTTTAGTTTAAAGGACTTCTTATTCTAACTTCTCAGGTCCTATAATGTGGAAAGTTAGTAACTATGAACACAACATTTCCACTTACCTGTTCAAAACTGAGTAAATGAAGTCAAAACAAAACATAATTTGCTACCTTCATACCATGTATCATTCAGAGTGAATGAACAAAAAACAATAGTTGTGCAAAAAAGTTAATAGAAAGGGTAAAGTTATCTAAACCCAAAGCAGACAAGTGGTTTAGGAGTAAGAGCACTGCAAATGGGGCCTAACTGCACACCTTTTTTTTTTTTTAAGATTCTATTTATTTATTTATGAAAAACACACACAGAGAGAGAGGCAGAGACATAGGTAAAGGGAGAAGCAGACTCCTTGCAGGGAGCCTGATGTGGGACTTGATCCCAGGACCCTGGGATCACGACCTGAGCCAAAGGCAGATGCTCAACCATTGAGCCACCTGCATACCCCTAACTGCACACCTTTTCATGTCTATAATAATAGTGACTTGTCCAGTAGAGGACGTTGTAAAGAGTAAGATCTTCAGAATTAGCTAGAACTCCATTGGTGGGCAAGTTATCTAATTTTTGCTAATGCTTACTTCCTCATTTAGAAAATGAGGATGATAATTCTTACCCCAGAGTGTTACGGAGATGTTCAAATACCATAATTAATTGTTAACTAAAAATCATTAGATGGCTTCATAATTACTTGTTGATTGTCTGATTTTAAAGATTGCTTGAAAGAAATTGCTTTTCTGTAAACAGTCTCTTAACGACATTTTGCTGAAAGGCTTGCTGTATTCATGTTAACATTTAATATATAACAAATATTGCACATTTGTGTAAAGCAGTTTAGACGACCAATAAATATTACTTATATCTTGGATTTTTAAAACTGTAGCTATTGCTTGTTAAGAATTAAAAGCAAATAAGTGATACACAATTGAATAAAAACTACTTTTTCTTAAAATTATAAACATTCATTAAGTAACTAAAGTAGTAATTAGATTCAACCTCGAGAGACTCACTGCCCTATAATTATGTTATACAAGTGAACACGTGCCTTGGAAGTTTCTTCTTAAATCTTTGAAGTTATTTTGTTATCTATCTATTCTGTTTTGTGCTTGTTTGTTTTGGTAGCAAAATACTAGGTTTTATAAAGATCTTATCCCCATCCCCTAAACTCATACTTGGTCCATCCCCCAACTTCATAGTTGGTCCAAACTCTTCAAAAGTTCTAAAGCAGAATTTCTGCTCCAGAAATTCTGATTTCCCCATTCTCTCAGAATTCCTTTTTTTCTTGAGCCCTCTCCTAGTAGGTGAGTCTTAGGGACACTCCCATCCCATCATAAATTAGCCAGATCCTAGTTGTTCGTCACTCTGAGTTCCTGTTTCCCTTGTCTCAGGTGAGAATCATAGGGTACTTCTGCTCTCCTCTGATCTTGGTGAAGAGACAAGTACAACTGCCTGCTCTTCTCATTTTACAAGGGTAAATGTGCTCAGGCTTTTATGGAATAGTGTACGGGAGCAGAAATAACTATAAATATTAATGGATCTTTACAATGTTATTCGAAGATTGACTTTGTAGTTAAGTTTTCTTTTTGGATAGCATCTGTCACACATTTTGAAATATGTGATATGTTAGATGTATTGCTTATTTTAATAACAACAGTAATGATTATATGTATTTGTAGATGTAATAAGCATGCTAATAGCCAAAAGAAATTTGATACTGAGAAATAATTTTGTTAACTATTGTATCTTTGAGTTTTGGTAACTGCTCTTTTTCTTTTATGAAATGGAAGCGGAGCCACCTCGTTCGGCCAAACTAATATATAATCACCCAACATTGTAGAGATATCTGAATCCTACATTAATAATTTTCCCATTATTCATTTTAAATGTTATTTATTTGCCACTTACTTATTCCACTAATCCAATATAAAGGCTGAAAACTGTCTGGATAATCACATTTGACAAGCTAGAAAAATATTTCCATCAGGCTGAGAGAAGAGTTTGAAGTCTGAGCTTGAAGAGGTTGCTTTCTTAGTGGACTCCTCCATAAGATGCCAGGAAGTAGTCACAGCCAAATTAATGCAAGGCACACTAAGGCTAGAGCCAGTCTGATCTGCTGATAGAGTCATGATCCATGAAGACTTTCTCATGTAGGTTTCCTCTCAGATCATGCTATGTGCTGATGAATGCCATTGGTAGGCACAGCAACATCATCAGATCTGACTCCATGGAGGTATGAATTTGTTGAGTATCTCACTTCCACCAGAATAAATCCATAATGCTTTTTTATTTAGAGTTATATATATATATATATATATATATATATTTTTTTTTTTTTTTTAATTTCCTAGGGAAGCTTTAAAGCTAGCAGGCTTATGAATCATGAAATAGTCTTGGACTTTGCCTCCGTTTGTCACGCTTTTCCCTGCCTTTCACACAAAAGAGGGTGGAGGCAAGGGATAATATTATCAATAACAACAGGAACAACTTACGTTTATTTGGTATTTACTCTGTGCCAGTTGTATGGTAGAAAGAAGAACTTGCCTTTCCCTGTTAGATTCTGCACCTGGAACCTGTGAGTTGAGCTGACAAAAGACAGATTAACAGGAGAAAAATATATAGACTTTATTTAACATTTTTACAGGCACATGGAAGCTGTTATGGTAGTTTAGTCATTTATGGACATTAAAGAGTCTTCAAACGGATCAGAATTCTATTCTGGGTGCTGAAGAGATTAAATTATTGAGATTTGAGAACTTGACTAAGGCCCACTCAATAAGAAAGGGCTTGTTTTCGATATTGAAAACCCAGGTGCATCAGACTCCAAGGCTTCTGCCATCTGAGTGGCTTGAACTGTTCCACGGTAAAAAATACATTTTATGTTATGACCAAGGGGACAAATTTGTAAATATATAACTGACACATATGGTTCATAAAATAATATGTTTTACTCCACGTGATGATTGGTATTCTCTTGCTTCCAATTCTGTCCTGCCCTGTTCTATCCTAACTTAGCCATTCTACTCTATGATAATTGATTTCACTTCTTTTTTAAAAAGTGCTCATTACAATCACTTTTATGCCTCACCAATAGTCCATGGTCTGAACTTTAGGGGAAAAAAATCCTAGGAATAGGCCTATGGAGCATCA